CTCTGCACCTCCCCAGCTCATGCTTGCACTCTGTCTCTGTCAAAGATAAATAAACTTTAAAAAAAAATTTTTTTTGGTTTCATCATAGAAGTCTAAGATGCCCAGCAAAACATACAGAGTATGTAAAACATGTCGCCTGTAAGATGGGCCACTGAGACCGGGGGTCAGGGGGTGGGGATGTGTGTGTGTGGACCATGTTAGGCACCATGTGCTGTGGCTGCTGGGTCCCAAGAGGTGCTAGGATGTGTCAGAATGAGGCCCGGGCCATAGTCCCGTAGCTCTTAGAAGTAGGGCTGCGTTTCCCTTGGGGCCCATGGCTGACTTGGGGCCATTTCTTTTCAGCTGGTGGAGCTCAAAAATGGAGAGACATACAATGGGCACCTGGTGAGCTGTGATAACTGGATGAACATTAACCTTCGAGAGGTGATCTGCACATCTAGGGTGAGTGCCCTCGTGCCCTGAGTCTGCGCCCACTGCCTGGGGGCCTTCTGGCACAGCTGGTCAGGCAGGGCCAGGCTCTATAAGAACTGGGGCTTATAGAGCCTCGGCGCCCTCAGGGGAGTGAAGGCCCCTCCCTGCCCTTGTGGGACGACATCTGCCAGGTCATCCCGCCAGGGTAAGGCTATGGAAGAAGTCGGGCTTAGGCAGGGCGGGGCCCGAGTGACTGGTCCAGGTGTGGTGGGGGCAGATGTGCGGGCCTCCAACTCCACCTGGTGCCCCGGACTTTGCACCTATGGGGATGCTGCCCCATCCCCCCACCTCTGGTGCCCATCCTAAACAAGAAGGACTTAGGCCTAGGGGGCACTTCTGGTTACAGATCCCTAGTGTCCAGGTAGGGCGGTGGCCTCCAAGGCAAACCTGACCTTCCTTGTCAGCCTCTGCTGCCTTTGGTCCTGGTTGTGTATATCTCTCGCCAAGCAGGCCAGGGCGATGTGGCCATGGGATATCCAGGCCACCAGGGGGCGAGGGCAGCCCTGTGGCCCTGTGGACTAGGAAACTTGTTTACCTCCCAAGGCCTCAAACCAGGAAGTACAGGGCCAGGAGGACCCCTGGATGGGCCAGGACTGGAGGTCTAGGGTCACAGGCCTCCCCAGCCCTCAGGATGACCCACAGAGCAATGAGAATGATGATAGTGGTGAAGGCAGGGCTCTCTACTGCTAACCTGTGTTGGGGTTTGCCAGGGCTTTCCTTCTGCCTCGATTCCAGTCTCCATCCCCCTTTTGGCAACAGCCCCCTATGTTACAGGTGAGGAAGGTGCCGGGGGACCATCCAGAATGGGGCTGTCTTGAGCCCGTGGGCAGGTGCCCTGAGGCTTGCCATCCCAGAGTACAGCAGAGCACTAGGCAGCCCGTCTTGCCCCTGGGCCGTCCTCCTGGATGGTTCACACCCCAGCAGGCAGAGTGGCAAGTGTGACCGTCTCCCCTCACCGGTGTGGCTCTGTGCCCTGCTTCTTGTGATGGTACATTGTGGGAGGTGTCCCGCTAGGAACTTTCTCCGGGTTTCCATGCCGCTCTTCTGGCAGCAGGTGTCTGGGCAGTTCCAGTGTGGCTATAGCAGACGCTGTCACAGTGCATAGCCGAGCACGTGGCCAGTAGGTCTGTGTCCACGGCCGGGGCCTGGAAGCAACCGCCAGTTCTCAGGGCAAGGTCAGCCTTGACCTCCACCGCCAGCAGAGACTGGACCTGTGGGTCCTCCTGGGTCGTCCTCCCTTTGTATCTACTGGTTGGAAAGAGAGGCCGGTGTGAGGTTCAGCGTCCTTTGGGCTCTCCGGCATCCTCATCTGTAAACATGTGGTAGCAGCACCTCCCTTGGGCAGCAGGCAGCATGGGCAGGATACAGACACCCCAGGGGCCAAGAAAGCACTGGAAAGCTAAGGTTGCTTGGAGGGTGGTTTCAGCTCAGGCTGCTCAGCTCTTGCCAGGGAATGCAGAGTAAGCTCTGGTTCCTGCAGGGAGTGTGCTGGGCCCAGCCCGTCCTTGGCTAAGGGAAAGCTGAGCCCTGAGCAGCCAGTCCCAGCCCTGAGCTTCCATGGAATCATTCTGTTTCTGTCAGGCTGTACTTTGCATCCCTGCGGACTTGGCCCCTGGCCTACCTTTCCTGGGAGAGGAGTGCCCCGAGACCTCATGGGATTCCTGTGCGGGTTGGGGGCTTGTGCACACTCCTGGGAAGAGTTGGCCCCCAGACATTCCTTTTGGCCCTTAGTTTTCCATTTGTCATGTTGAGTACTTCCACTGGGCCAAACCGGCCTGACCCAGGCACTGCTGGGAAATGTTATGCATGAGGACTGGGGGTTTCAAGGAGGCTGGGAAGCAAGGCCTGTCGGGGGTCAGAGTTAGCCAGACATGGAAAAGTGGGAACAGCATTTGCAAAGTGCTAGAGGCAAGAAGCCCACTGTGTGTTCCAGAAGTTTCCATCTGGAAGGCACGTCATCGAGAGCTGAGAGAGGGCAGCCAGGGTGGGGCTAGATCTCAGGCCCTTGGGAGCCACACTGAGGAGTTTGGACCTTGTCCTTGGGCCAAGGGGGCCCTGATTGGGTTCTGAGAAGGGAAGTGTCTTGGTCTGATTTCTAGGGATGTGCAGGGAGGAGAGGGCTGCCAAGATTTCTGGCTCAGGGTACCAGGGGTGGGGCTGGAGAACTAATCTGAAGGAAGAGGCCCTGGGCTCCTGCCCAAGGGCAACAGGAGGGGGTGTGGAGCAAGGCCTTGTGCTGGTCACAGGGTACAGGGCGGGGGG